ATGTTGCAAGGGCACCCACTATTCACGTGAATAGTAGCTGCCCTAGGCCCCCCTTGCCATGGCAAGGGGCTGACTGGTGGAAGTGCAGGGAAGTAGCATGGCTCACCATCCCAACTCCACATCTCACATAGACTACTTTCTTGTCATGGATCTTTCCCACCAGGAATCGCCGCCCTGCAACACCACACTTCCTTTCAGATAAACCGAACTAAAATACGTGAAAATCTTCTTCAAAATGGTAAGGGAGAAGATAAAAAATAAACAGAAAAGTAGCACAGAAAATAAATGTGCCAACCTGAGAGATCCACAGAAGGATGCTTTTGATTAGGCTTAAACGCCCCAATCTGAAAAAAGGCAGTCTCTTCTGGTGGAAATACTGTGATAAGGCCAATGTATGGTCCTTTGCGGTTTACTTTTTTGATTAAATTCAAAGATCTCCAGTTTAGTGGTAAAGAAAATGAATAAGCAACGAGTAGGGAGATCAAAACCAGCCTAAGAAAACATGCTGCAAATCGTTTTGCAGCCATGGTTGCGATGAACTAAACGAAATTGCTGCACAACAAGGAAGCTGGTGATGAGAACTACTGGCCACTGAAGATGGAGACAAAGTGCGGTCTCTTGAATATGTGGAGTACGACAAAGACAAGGACGGATACAAAACCTGTATTCTTGACAGTTTTTCCACGAAGACAAGGACGGATACAAAACCTGTATTCTTGACAGTTTTTCCACGAAGACAAGGACGGATACAAAACCTGTATTCTTGACAGTTTTTCCACAAAGACAAGGACGGATACAAAACCTGTGTTCTTGCCAGTTTTTCCACAAAGACGAGGATACAAAACCTGTATTCTTGCCAGTTTTGTTTATATCTCCCTCTCTTTTACACAAATGGCAAACCCTATTCATTGGGAATTTGTACAAGATATTTCTAAGCCGGTCACCTCGGCTCGGAACTGAGCCGTTTATGTCACACCAAGCCATCCTATCAGGTGGTGGATAGTCGGGGATTCAACCATGTCCTCTTCTCATTATGGTTTTGCTAGAAGGCGGGCTTGAGCAGAGTAGCCAATCACAAGCGAGCAGAGTCCCACCTGGTCAAGTGGTGGGTTAGGTGGTTTACGCATGGACTTGGAGAGGACGGGGGAGGGGGGGTGGGGTGGTACCGAGGCCGAGGTAGAGGAGGTCCGGATGGTCATTTTTGCTAAGTGGCCAGCAAGGTCCACGTGTTCCATTTTTATTGGGCAGACGGGCTCAGTATATACCGAGCGTCAACAGAAGACATTTATGTAATTCTTCATACCTTTGGCTGCACGGCAGGCTTTTCATTATTAAAATTTGAAAGGATGACAAAAGTATGCTAATTCTATACATCGGACAATAATAAAGTTACATAGTACTGGTTTCAACAATATGTTCTGCGGAAAAATAATAAATTTACTTGTCTATTCACGGTTATGATTATTATATCAGCGTATAAGTATATAAAATTTCAGGATTCGGTGAATATTAAGCCTTTGAGATATTAATATACAGTTCATGTTAGACCATGGAAAAACTTGATTATAAATTAAGTCATGGAGATAATGACACAGATAATCATCTGCAAACCATTTTGACCAGTTCAACAGTGTAATATGCGACCGTTATGGTTTGAGGGTAACTTGGAGCTGACACTGAGATTTGAACCTAAGACCACCACTCTCACGAACTGAGCTCATTCAGGGCGACGCCAAACCTGTGTATGATCTTCATGAGTTTAATCTCGGTATTCCAATTAAACAAGGATGCGTGCATGCTGAAAAGAAGAAATACATAGATATAGAAGATAAGGCACCAAACTAGTTGCAATCTTTACGAGTCGATCATACCAAAGCTTACTAAGTTTAAATATTTCCTTCGGGCTGAACTTGAAATGTTTGATCAATCGGATCTCAAGAATTCAATCCTTTTGAGAAAGTTATGAATGATTTAGAACTCAAAACTCAACAAGGCATGCTTCTCTTCAAGGGCCAATGGCGCTGGTGCTTTTAACAGTAAACTGCAACTGTATCCATCTCAAAAAGTAAAAACAAAATGCAACAATCTCATTTCCCATATGGTTTCTTGGAAACATTATATCTTTCAATGTAAAGATATTTAAAACTTTCATTAATGGATGATACTTTTTAAATACAATAAACAAATAACGATCCCAGCCCCTTTACAGACCCTACAATTAGGACCTCACAGAGTACAAAATTATGCCACACAAAGCATGAAAATGGGCAAAAAAACCCTTATCGCATACTCAGTTCTAGGCATCTAGAGGGACGGGAGCTTTACACCTTGAAAAAGATGAATCCGCAGACCCCAGCCTCTTTCATTAAATAATAATTACCAGGGGCACATCCTTGTTCCTCCAGACTATCGTAATATCCAAAAAAAAATGTCTGTCAAAAGAACCACGCATTTCACCTATTTTGAAGCCCTTCAATTGCCTTCTTCCACTGCCAAGCTCTTTGTTTTGCATCCTCAAATTGCAGTACCTTTTTTGGCTGAGAAATGACATAACTTGTATCAGAGAAAAGAAAAAAAACATGCAGCTAGTTAATTTCTTGTGAAGCAATTTCATCAACCCCAAGATCATTACAGCATCACGTTTCATGGCCCTCCAGACTTTGAAAAGAATCATCTCAATGATAGGACCATGCCGCAAAATCTTAGGGGACAAAACTGACTGAAGATATGTGACTGAGAGATAACAGAGCAGTAAGGCCATACCGTACAAATCTTGAACTGTGACGGAGTAGCGACTTGGATGCTGAGGTCATTAGAGTTGTCAGACCAAATTATATTTCCCTTCACTATTAGCTTGGCAGGATCCACATAAATCAGTTTAGGCTTGTTGGTAAGGATAAGTTGCACCTTCTTGCTGGTCAGTTTTTGAATCTTCTTCACCATTGAGATCATAAGAACTGACTCCCCAGGCTCGAGGAATTGTTGCCTGTTAGCATGGTATACGTATTAAAGATCAATGTGGATTTCATAACAGAAACAGGAAATGCAATATCATAAACTCTCTGCAAGGATTTTAGGAAGTACTTAGGCAATACAGGGAGTCCTTAAAATGCTAAAGAAAGAAAAAATTAGCCTCCAAATCAAGTGCTATTATCTCATGTAAGCATATTTCTAGATCTGAGACTCTTGCCAACAAACCAGAATAACACTGTATTTATCACATTAGAGCTCATAACAGACCTTGCAAGAAAAAGATTATAATTCTTTTGAAATTAAAAAATGAGTGATGAGAAGCACAAAGCAGAATGGTTTAGAGGATACCATTTTGAATCAAAGGAGTCAATTGAAGCGAGCCTAGTTACATGACCAGATGCTTCAGAAGAAGATGTGGCACCACTGCTACCCTCAATTTGTCTTACTGCACCATCTCCAATGTGTGAGGGGTTCCATGAGTTATCACGACTACCACCCTCAACTGACTGAACACAAAAAACATAAAAACACAATGTTCTAAGAAACAATCTAAGAATGCTCACTCAAGAAAGGAAGAATATATGCAAGAGTTGAGTTTCTCTATATTAATATTCCAAAACAACATGAAAGTCATACCCCCGTCTCCAATGCAAGTTTTGGAGGGGTTTGCCCTCGTAAATTCTTCCAGTCAACTCCCTTGAAGAATGGATGCATCTTCAGTGCAGCATAACCATCTGGCCCAGCACCTGGTCTCCTGCTGGGATCTAAGTCCTGTAACAGTTGCATGGTGAAGTGAAGGCTTGAACTACATACTAGTCAATGCAATCTAAAATACCTGAACATTCTCAAGAATGGAAGTGGTATATAACTCTGTAGCTTTTGTAAGGGAAGAATTCCCATAAAGATTTTGAAAATATCATTTGCCCAATTGACCAAGAAACTTTTTGTTTCCGGGTGTATGGCTATTTCCTTGGTCTGACCAAAAAAAAAAAAAAAAACCTAAAGGAATCCTAGTTATGACTAGCAGGATTACTAATAGAAGCAGATTGCAATAAGTATAAGTTGGTAGCTTACCAATAACCGGTCAATGAGGTCTTTAGCTTCCTCTGAAAAATGATTTGGAAACCTAATATCTCTTGCTATAATTCTTTGGAAAATAAGCCACTCGCTTGCATCTTTGAAAGGAGAAGTTCCTGAAAGCATTTGGTACACGGTGCAGCCAAGTGCCCAGAGGTCATTTCTGTTTTGATATGTTCAAACGAGCAAAAGAAATGTTATCCTACAAAGGTCATATATTATTAAGAACAGACAAAATGAACAAGGAAACAAAGAAAAGACGAACCACTTGCCAAAATTAGCCAAAAAGTCTACAAGCTTTACACTAAGCTTAAGACTTTTTTTGGACCAAAAAAAGCTTAAGAAAATTTAGAAATAAAGTACAAGCCCCAGTAACTCCGCTTAAGTCCCTTACCCAAAAGTTGCAGGAGAAGAATTCAGGACTTCGGGAGGGACATATGCCGCTGTCCCCACAAATGTGCAGGCTTTATCATCTAGACAAAGCATCCAGAAAACAATCTCATCATATTACTCAAAAAAAGAACCATGTAGCCTCCACATGACTAAAATTATAAGATACCTGATGCTGCATTTGGAAGAACAGTAATTCGGCTATCCTGCATAGGCTTTACACTCCCAAAATCAGCAATCTTGATATTACCCTCAGATGTAAGTAACAAGTTCTCTGGCTGCCATTTGAAAATCTATTAGCATGTTCATATGACCTTAAAATGCACAAGTATATTCTTAAGAAAATACCTTGATATCTCTATGAATCAATCCCATACTGTGTATGTATTCAAGTGCGTCTACAACTTCTGCTGCATAAAAGCGAGCTTCATCCTCAGAGAGACGACCTTTCTGCACACAATTTAGTGAAACAATGGATCCAGTAGAATGACAATCTAGAGGGGGCAGAGAACCATGAACTGGAAGCATATAAACAAATTCAATAACACAGAATAGTTAGGCACTGCAAATTAGGTACTTCAAGCTAGTAGCTAGCTGGCATGTTCACTAATCAGTGATTTTTGGAAAAATCATATTTTGAGTTCAAGAAAGAGAAGTAATGCTAGGTCAACATTAATTTCAAGAAGGAATTACAATATTCACCACATTCCTTGATATACAATTGAGGATGAAAAATCACAACATAAAATGAATTCTTCTCATTGAAAAGTAGATGCAGAGGTAATTCCACAATAACATGAAAAGCACATGTTATAAGCTTAAAGCTTACCCTAGTTATTTGATCAAAAAGCTCTCCGCCTTCACAGGATTCAAGTGCCATGTCTTCACAAAAAATTAAAGAAACCAGTGTCAATGAGATTCCAGAATGAGCAAACAAAGAATAAAAATTTGAGAATACAAAAACACTGAACCAGAAGGAAGAAGTAAATCTGAAACAAGTACAAAAGACATGGTGACTTAGAAGAGGTTACAAGTTTACAACCAAGAATACCTACACAGTGAAAAGGAATCTTGAAATGTAAAAAATAGCCGCACAATTCCTGGATGATCCAGCTGATCAAGAACAATCCGTTCCAGCTTCACATAAGCTGTTTTATTTTCTTTGGTAATGAATTTTTTGTCCATGATCTTTAATGCATAGACAGTTCCTGTGTCCTTCTTCTTAGCTCTCACAACCTGAAATTTATTGGCATTAAGAGACAAATAAGAACCAGGAAAAAACTTTAAGCAGCACAAACAGTTCAACAACAATATGTATAGTATTATATAATATCTATAAAAGTTTTGAAACATGGTCATTATGACAGAAATTACATAACCACAAAACAACCATGAGAAGAAAAAAAAGAATAAAGTATCAGTACCACCATAATAACATCATTTCAGGTAGCCTCCATCTCACTCCAAGACATACCAGCATGATAATATTTTTCTCATCGAGAAGAAACAAACTTCTCTTAATGCTAACAAAAATTACATCTATGTAGACATTAAAAAGTAAAATAATTTGGATCCTAAAATGCCAACAAACCACCCCCTCCCCAACACTTCTAACTATTTTGGTCTAACACACTGCAGCCCGTAGAGAGCCCCAAATTCCTCCCCTAGTCCACTGAAATCTTCAAAATTCTTCTACCAGCATAAATAACATATTGACCAACTAAAAATCCTATGTCCTAAAATTTACTACAAGCTCACACCAACCAAATGCAGGTTTGAAGCTCTACAGTCCCAAGAGTAAAGAACACAATGTACTCAAGCATCCCAACTCAGGGAAACTGATCGACCCATATGACAGTTCTTTTTGCCCTTCCATTACACTTGCAATGTTTCTATTAGTTTACTCAAAGAAAGGTTGGGAAAGATACAGCCAAAAGCAGGACTTTCCTCAAACAATGCCTTACAGGGTTTGTTCTTTTTGTTTTTATAACAATTGATATTGTCTAGAAGTGAATATAAACCACTATAAATTGCCAATAACTCACGTTTAAAAAAAAATGCTGATCACCCAATAAATGTATAGCATATGCAACCCGTTCATTTACATATCAATTACATCATCCAATCACACAACTACGTTTCCAAACCATGAAAATCCACCAGTCTACGAGATTACTCAGATAACAAAATCAAAACAACAAAAACCAACAAAGTTCGGAAAATAATAAATTTAAAACCGGACCTTGGAATAGGAACCAACGCCATAGATCTTGCCCAATTCAAAGTCTTGAATGCTGAATTGCTCTTGGGGAGCCCTGAAAGCAAAGCTCTTGGATCTCGGAACATTGGCACCATTAGAAGAATTCCCCTGAATCTTCAACTTAGCATCAAAATCTTTCTCCATTGCCAACATATCTCTCTGTGACAATTCCTCTACATGTTAGCACCAACACCACTTTCTCTCTCCAGGAAAAGCCTTGGGAGCAGAGCAAAGACAATCACTTGGATGGGAGAGAGCCTGCCTCTCTTTCTCTAATATTCTCTTCTGAAAAAAGCAAAGGTGAAGGATTGGATTCCTTATTGTTAAATGTGGGTATGTGTGTATTCAGGGGAGGTGAGCAGCTTTAGCTTTGGTTCCAATTTCAAAACCCTAGAAAGCAGAGAGAAATTGGATTATTGTGGAATTGATAATGGGGAGAGGAGAGAGAGAAAGAGAGAGAAAAGGGAGAGTGGAGTAATATTAGTTTTTGGATGGAGGAGAGGGAGGTATGGGGATGGAAGAAGAGAAGAGAGTGGGCACATGCCACATGGGATTTTCAATGATGAATAGATGGATAGCTTCCAAGGCCTAAAAAAGGAAATTGGAGGGAGTGGCAATGCTGATGCATATGGCTAATGCTGGCCATTATTGCAAGCTTTTAAGCCTTTTATGGATATGGAGGTCCCTTACAATGTCCATTGGGCTTCTCACTAGCTTCCAATCTATCTATCTATCTATAAGTGCATCCACAATCATGTTCTCTATATTTTAGTTAAATTTTAACTAAAAACATATAAAAGTTATTTTAGGAGCTCTTTATAAAATTTAAACTCCAATCATATTCTCTAGTTTAGGGAGTCATAAATGCTATAACTCTTTTGTAATTGGTCCATCTCTATTAAAAAGTATATAAAAAATAGTTAGCATTAATTAAAGGTGTGAAATACTCATTAAATAAGGCAGCATTAAATTATAGGGAGTCACTAAGAGTTATTTCTCTCTCCTTAGATTTAGGAGCTCCTAGAGGTCTCCCTATTTTAGGAGGTGGATAGGGAGTGTGGTTGGAGAAATTATACAATAGTACGGTTATACCACGTCATCTTATGATACTTCCACTCAAATATTGCCACTTGTCCAATTTAAAAAAATAATAATTTGCTTTTTCACAGCTGGACTTTTACTTAATTTTCATATTTTATATAGAATTAGAAAAATAAAAATAAATTAAAAAGTACCATAGCCACCACCCCTCTCTCTCTTCTTCCCCTTCTCTCTTCCTCTTCACCACTGCCACTATCCGTGGCCACCCCTCTCTCCTCCCCTTCTCTCTTTCTCTTTTCTCTCTTCCTCTTTCAAACAATATCGTTATCTTCCATAGTGCCCCTACACCTTTCTCTTATTTCTCTCAGACCTAGACCTTTCTTAGATTGCCACTGGCCGATCCTGATTACCCAAGCATGAACTATTTTTAATTATCAAGGCTACTTCCCAACTATTATCATCAAAACCAGTTTAATCATCCTCCCTCTAAACCCAACCCCACTGCATGAAATTAGTATAAGGGATAAAGAGAAAGAGGAAGGGAGAGGGATGGCTGTCATGGCAGGTACTGGAGATTAGGTTCATCGGGTTGGGG